GCATCTGTCTGGGATGTAGCCGTGTTAAGTTCATAGTGATGGTAAAATATCGTCTGGGAAACTAGAGAGGAGCCAGGGTGCCATTGGTCATCCATTTCCTCTCTCTGGGCTCTGCCAAGGCGGCTCACGGTGATCATCTGGAAGGATCATCACCTGGGGACACCCCTAGAACAGTTCATAGCTCCCCCCTCTGTGTGAAGTGTTCTTTTGATCATGTCCCATCTTGGAAGGCAGACCAGGCATGAAACAGGGTCTATTCTGGAAGCCTGTGTGTGCTGGGAATGAGCACATTTCCCCCTGGAATAGTCCAGAGCCCTGGGGAACTCAAATCTGGGTGGTAGGGCCACATTGCAATGCCAAAGAGCTACTCTGCCCTTTTCCCTGAAGAATGTGACCAAAACCCAGGTTTCTAAGTTCTGTTAGCCCCAGAAAGGCCATCCTGCTAGCGTCTTGAGCAGCTCCTATCAGGCAGCACATTTCAAGTGGGACATTTACAAAGAGATTCTATTTGTCAAATATAAAGAGGAATAAAAACTTAGAAGGACAAATGGAAAAAGAATCTGAGAAGAGAAAGGAAAATGAAAAGGGAGAGGCTATTGAGCAAGCGTAGTTAATTACAGGCTGGGAGAAAGTCAGTCTGGAATGTACTGACCTCGTGGGGCGAGGACAGCACCCGTGACCCAGAACAGGCTGCTTCTAACCTGAGACACACTTAGCCTGCCCAGTGTGTCCAGTAGAACTTGATTGGGCCACCGGCTGCCTTTCTGGCCTCGCTCCCAGCCTGGTCCCTGCAAAGCCCCACAAATGTTTATAGCACAAGTAACCAACAAACTGTAATCAGCAGGGTTCTGTAAACATGCCTTGGAAGTACATAATGGCATAAAGCTTTCTGCTTACCCAGCAACTTTCTCTAAATGAGTTGAAGAAATGTTCAGAACAATGTTGTTCATTAATCACTAGCATGTCAAGGTGGGATATTGTCTCCGTTTGCGAGATCGGGAAATCACAGAGCTGATGCCTTAAGTGGTTTTTAAACCAACCATACAGAGAATTAAAGAATCATTGATATGGTGCCTGAATCAATCAGGATAGGCGAGGTTGTGCTGTGAGGACAAACCACCCCAAACATCACAGTGGCTTAACTGCTCACACTACACACCCGTCAGGCTTGTGGGAGCGGAGCCCTCCCTGCCAGCGATCAGCGGCCGCCCGCCGGGCTGTCACCACTCACCGTGACAGTGGAAGGAAGAGTGTGGCTTTTCAAAGGGCATGAGATTCAGGAGTTGTAACCTCAGCATCTTCTGCATCCGCTCTCTTTCCCTTCAGTGCCTTTATTTGCCTCTTTGTAAATTGTGCGTAATAAATTTAGGCTTTTCTTCACTGAGAGTGGTGCATGTGATCCATCATAACTGTCATGTAAAGCAACAGGACTGACCTTTTTCATTTTTTAACTGAAGATGAGCATTCAGATAGGTACAGTCCTTTAAAAGGGTTAGTTTGAGATGATAATTTATCCAGTGGTGGTGCTGTTGCTCAGTTGAGGAGTCACCAAGAAATTTCGTTTTCCCACTGTAGACAAGGTTGTGGTTCAGGCTAAATCATAGGGCTCTGCCACCACAGAGAAGCCAGAAGTCTGTCTCCACGAGGCTCCTGGAGTGGCATCCATTGTTCTGGTGATTTCTTCAGCATGTCGAGTCAGTTCTTAAGCTCTGCAGACTCAGAAACATGACTTTTCATCCTCGGGGGAAGACCCACATCCCCCAGGTTCAAAGTACCGACGTGTAAATCCATACTGAGTGTACTGGCTTCTGGTGAGGGGCACAGCCCCCACCCAGATGGGGCCCTCGGGGCACATGATCCTTGCCCTCCCCCCCAGGAAGGAGAGTCAGCAGGGGCAGGATGGCAGGGGGTGATGTGCGTGGCCCTTGAGTCTGGCCTGACTTTGTCTGGAATCCTGGCTTTGCTGTGAGAGCCAGGACTGCCTGCCTGCCATCTCCAAGTCTCAAAATCTCCACTGGCAAAGGAACGGCAGGATCTTATTCTAGATGGTAAGTTGATCGTAAAAATGGGATAGTGCTCAGCGCCATGTCTAAGACATAGGAAGGCCTCGGTGAGTTCTTTAGAAGACACGACGTTAGAAGGAGAGTTACATGGATGAGCATTTCCTATGATCAGCTAAAGTAGCCCCCTGCCTCCATGTCTGGCCTGTAAGAGGCCTTACCACTGGGGCCCTGGTATCCAAGCCCTCTTGGCTAAGACCCCATTTGCTTCCCCCTTCTATCCCTCTCCCCCACACACCTTCCATTCACCCCCACCCCTTCCACAGAGTGATTACTATACTGAATCACATTACAGAAAAACTGTGCTAACCCTGAGAGTGAGTTCTGTACTTGCCCTTCCTGGGTGAGTTTATGTGTCTCTGATCAATTCCGTTGAGATGTTGGCTTTAACATTTAATCATAAAGGGAAGGAAATCTGGTTTCTGTCATTTTCAGTTTGGGGCCAGAAACCTCACCATAAACCCCAAGAACCCACAATTACCTAATAGTCACACCTCATTTTATAAAACCAGTTGGACCACCTCCTCCCCCCCGCCCCGTCCCACTCACTACACTCGACTTTTAAGTGACTTTTGCCACTTAGGAAAAAAAAATCAAATCCATTCTGAGTGCAAAAAGTTTATCACCAGTAAGGATGCTTTTACAAATATGACCTGAGCTTCAAAGGCAACCCAAAAGATTATCAAAAATATTTTCAGAATTAGCAGGCATCATAGGAATACTGTGACTGCTTTGAAAGGAATAGCAGTCATTTGGATAGATAAAGTATGGTGCATTGCGATTTAAAAGTCAACCATACCTACCTTACATTCAGTCACGACCTCTGCATTAAATGCTCTGTACCTCGGCAGCCAGGGACCTTCCGGAGCTGGGGGGGTGGGGGTGCAGGGGCTGGAGGTAGTGCTGAGCCTGCAGCAAACACAGCCTGCACCCCACCCCACCCCTTTGATCTACTTTGTAATTGATTGGTGACATCCTGGGAGCTGAGCCACGTTTACCCCACTGCATCCGGATCCCCATGGTAGGCTGTCTACCGTTTATGAAGGAGGATCTTACAGAAAATCTTGAATTCCCTGTTGCTTACAGGGACTACTTATTCACTTGTTCACATTTTAGGATGAGCAGAAGTATAATATATTAGATAGTGTTCGTTTATCATAACAGATTCTCCCGTTCATTTCCGGCTTCCGGGGAGAGGATGCTCTGCCCTAGCTTCAAGCCCATTCCTGTCATTTCCAGTTGCTTTTATTGGTAAACTGATGGTCATGGGGGCCCAGACGCTGCTACCCTGTGAGCCCAGGAGTGAGACAGCAAAGGAACCTGCCTGCTTTGGCATTTTAAAATGAACATGAGCTTGTAGGCTGTGCCCCTGATAAGCACTCTTTATCGGCAGGTGCTGTGTGCCACGTATTTCTCTGTGTCCTGCGGTATTGGCTAGTTGCCCTGCACACATTAGACAGTTGGTAAATATTTGTTGAATTAGAGGGAAGTATACCTGTATTAGTCATGTTGGGCTGCCATTACAAAATATCACAGCCTAGGGGGCTTGAGCAACAGAAATTTATTTTCTCACAGTTCTGGAGGCTGGCAGTTCGAGACCAGGGTGCCCAACCTGGGTGGGTTCTCATGAGGGCCCTCTTCCTGGCTTGCAGATGGCTGACTTGGCCCTGTGTCCTCACATGGTGGAGAGGGGGAATGTGAGCAATCTCTCTGGTGTCTCTTCTCATAAGGTCACTGATCCCATTCGTGACAGCGCCACCCTTATAACTTCGTCTAACCCCAGTTCCCCTCCCAAAGGTCCCATCTCCAAATGCCACCACAGAGGGGATTAGGGCCTCAACCTACAGATTTGGAGAGGGACTCAGAGTGGTTCATAGCAACACTCAGAAAGTGAAATAAGACATTAAACTGTCGTGGTGCCTGGGTGGCTCAGTCAGTTAAGCGGCTGCCTTCGGCTCGGGTCATGATCCCAAGGTCCTGGGATCGAGCCCCGCATCGGGGCTCCCTGCACAGCGGGGAGCCTGCCTCTCCCTCGCCCACTCCCCCTGCTTGTGTTCCCTCTCGCGCTATGTCTCTCTCTGTCAAATAAATAAATAAAATCTTAAAAAAAAAATATGGACCTCGACAGTGATTTCATTCCTAAATCTCTGGCACACTCCTTTAGATTGACAGAGGTGTTTAAAAAAGAGTTTATGATAAAAACACTCTCACATAAAGACTGTTCTTCTCCTTTGGAAAGGTAACTGGAGGGTGAATTTGTCATTTATGCTTAAATTCCAATCCCAAGGTTCTTTGGCCTTAATTTTAACATTCCTGGAGGGGAGGGTATTTTAATGTTTGTATTCAGAATTATGGAGTGGATAGAGTGGTCAAGGGCAGAGTCTCTGGAGCGAGGATTCAAATCCCAGTCCCAACACTTGCTTCATCTCTGGTGCCTGGTTCCACCTCTTATGACAGAGTTAATAGCAGGAGCACCTCCTGGGGTTGTGATGAGGAGCAGAGATTCTGGTATTTGTATAGTGCTTAGAACAGGGTGTGACATGTAGCACATACTATGTGACTATATATTACATGTATATACATAAAAATATATCCATACAAGGCATCTTCCTCTTGGTGCAGTATAAAATGTTCTCCTGTGTGGGGAAGAAGAGCCAGAGGGCTTGACAGCCCTGCCAAAGAGCAGGTACCATTTGTTCTAGAACAAACTACCAGGGAAACAAGGCGGAAGGTCTCCACCCGTTCGTGGCCCTGTGCTTGGCTTTTTGCTTGGTGGCATCCTCGTTGCCAACTCCTGTGGGTTTTCCAAAAATCATTTGTGTTGATGTACTTGAGCTTTGAGACATCCCATTTAAAATATTCTGTCAACCTGAGATTGCGTGTCTTGGGAAAAGTCACCTCTACTCACTTGTCCTTTTTTCCCCTTTATTTTGCCTCCAGCCCAAGCTTTTGGCCAAGGAGCTGCTGGACCTCGTGGCCTCTCACTTCAATCTGAAGGAAAAGGAATACTTTGGAATAGCCTTCACAGATGAGACGTAAGTGCCGCCACGGGCCCTCCAGACCTGCAGGGAGAGTGAGACCCTGACATTGCGCTGTCCCATCTGTCAACAGTGCAGTCCGCGGGCCGCTTGGGTCCTGTGCTACGGGGTCAGTCCAAGTTCATCGTCCGAATTTCAAAGACCTTGTGATCATGCCTGGAACAGCCAAAGGATATCATTAGGGCAATGCTCATATAAAATTGTTAGGTAAACTGGTTCTTATAATCAAGCAGGTCCATGTTCAGAACTGAAATGTTTTTGTTTTTTTCTTTAAAGTCGATTTTGTATGGGTTTGTTTCCTATTAGAGTTAAATGAAAACTCCTGGAAATTAAATAACTTCTCTCCAATGTTAGAGTAACAATAACAGGAAATGAATTTGATGATAAACTCAAAATGAAAAGTATCTGTGCAGCGTCACTGTCTCGGCTGAAATCGAATATAGCAATCGAAAATTCGTATCATTCCTCTGATGAAAAGTACATTTGTTTTCCGTGGTTTTCAATCTGCCTCTATAAAGTGGCATTTTGCGACCCAGGCAAGGAATATCTTTGCTAAAATTTCAATTTCCTTCTTAGTGTACTGTTACCAAAGAGTACATTGAATACCTGCACAGATTCCTAGATAAGATGCAAAAAGGAAATGTTTCACAATTTTTTTCCTTCATGTACACTCACTCCTCCTCTCTCTCTTTCCAAATGCTTAGAATTACAGAGATGATTTCCTAGAATATTAAAGAGAATGGTAGGTTAGTGGCTGGACAAGACAGTACGGGGGGCGGGGCGCGTGCCTCCTCCATCAAGATGGTGCCATCGAGGCAGGACAGGCTCAGACACAAGGACAGGAGGGGCCCACTTTGGGCAGTTGGAAGGGTCATCAGATGCACCTGCACACGGGTGCACTTAGCCTCAGGAGCTGCAAGTGGGCAGGGTGGCCATCTGATTGATTGTCTGCACTGGGACGGTGTGAGTGAAAGGGCACGTAAATGAGGACTGTCTTGGATGAACTGGAACATTCGCTCTCTTAATTAGCAACGTTTCACATGCTGGTGTGATCGGGTTGCAGGCGTGGGGAGCAGAGCTCTGGCTTCCTCAGGAAAGCCAGGGGGGGCCAGGTCGGCCTCGGGAACTGGGCAGGAAGGGAAGCAGGAGAGTTGCCCTTGTCTAGAACAATCACTATGCCTACAAGTAGGACCGGTGAGCACGGCTGGGAGCTGGGGGAACCTGGTGGGAAGGAGCCGGCATAGTAAGAAAATAAATGCTTTAAAACAAATATACATCGCAACTACCTTCACAGATGCAGATGTTTTCTACCCCTTTCCCTGAGAATCACGGTTAAACCCCCTAAATTGCTAGTCATACATTTCACTAATTAGAAGGAAACCAGAAGTTTCAATTAATCATATCCCATTGTTCACATTGCCCAAGTATGTTTACTCTTGTAAAAGATCCGTGCACCCTGCATGAGCCCCAGTTAGACTTCCCTTTTGAATAAACAAGAATCAAAGAATGAGCATGTTGTCCCAGGCCAGCGAAGAAGAAATACGCCTGCTAAATGTTTCACATCTCTGCCTGAACAGCACAGGCCAGAATGAATCGGCTGTAAGGTAGAAAGTCACCCTCCGGGGCACCTGGGTGGCTCAGTCGGTGAGGGGTCCGACTCTTGATCTCAGCTCAGGTCTTGATCTCAGGGTTGTGAGTTCAAGCCCCATGTTGGGCTCCATGCTGGCGTGGATCCTACTTAAAAACAACAACAACAACAACAACAACAACAACAAACCCAGCCTGTGTGCCTTCGGTCTTCGTGCTCCCGGTTCTCTGGGCTGGCCAGGAGTGTGAGTGTGCCCCTGAGCACGTGAGTGTGAGGCCAAGCTGCCACTCCCTTGAGTGATGGAACTGGAGGCGTGGAGGGCTCTGTGGGGGAAGTCATGAGGAGGATGGGAGCCATCTTCTGGCAGGGTCCGGGGAGAGTGTGGCCACCCCCGTCCCCTTCACCCCAGGCCGGGCAGGAGGATCCGTCCAGCAAGCGTCAGAGTGGTAGAAGCTGATGGGAGCTCAGTGGGCAAGGGCTGCAGCTGCCCGGTGGGCCCGACTCACGGGGACCCAGCTAGTGTCAGGGGTACCGCAGAAATCAAGAACCAGGGCCCCCGAGGGACTAGCCAAGGAGACAGAAACAAAGGGGTGGCCGTGACTCAGGGCCCAGTCAGTTGTGGCCTGACAACCCCTGGGGCCAACAGATGTTGGCTGATGGCCTTGTGGGTCATCTGAACTTTCCTCCTTTTCCTGGTAGGAGGGAGGAGGACAGTTGCCACCATGAAGTTGTGCCTGCGGCTGCGCCCCAGCCTAGGTTGGTAGTCACGGGTCAGTGAGCACTTAGCCTTGCGATAGGCACCTCTGGCCCTCACTCTGGGCGCTGCCAGACTCACATAGAATCTTTTATTTTATTTATTTATTTATTTGAGAGAGAGAAAGCAAGCAGTAGTGGTGGGAGGGGGCAGAGGCAGAGGGAGAAGCAGGCCTCCCGCGGAGCAGGGAGCCCGATGTGGGGACTTGAGCCCAGGACCCCAGGATCACGACCTGAGCCGAAGGCAGACGCTTCACCGACTGAGCCATCCAGGCGCCCCCAACATAGAATCTTTTAATAACCGTGTATCCGAATTGTGTGTGTGTACTCTGATGTGGAGTGTGTGTGGGTGAGGGATTCATGCAGGTGCGACCCTGTACCTCCTATAACGAAATGAAATCGAAGCTCCATCTTTTATTATAGCCCATGGTGTACCTTGTGGATTTGCCTATTCAAGACTAACATTTGGAAAGGGCTTGTGAGCTGTAGAACACCGAACAAGTGTACGATCCACCAGCAGTATTAGATTCCTTAGAGTAGACTAGGTGACTTCAAGGTCCTCGATGGCCAGCAAGGCCTTTCATTCTAACTGCTGTTGATGACATTTTGTAGGATCTGGATGGGCCTGGAGACGAGGTCTATAAAAGCAGAAGGAAGACAGGAAATTGGAAGGTTCTCTAAGCTTCTCTCACACCATCAGGTTATGTTCTTTAATAAAGTGCCTAAATCCACCAGGCACGACTTTGGGCCCCAGGATATTTAATATCATTGGCTAATCCGCAGTTTTGCAGCATTAGTACTAGCTTTGCCTGTTTTAGTTTCACTTTTTAACTTTTTATTTTGAAATAATTAAACTCACAAGAGTTGGCAAAAAGAGCAGATTTCCCCATAGACCCTCCACCCAGCTTCCCCAATTGTTATAGTTTACCAAGTGTATGACATTTTTCCAAAACTGAGAGATTAGCATGGGAACTAGTAAACTCTGATATTATTGGTACTAAACTATAGACTTCATTTGAGCTTTACCGGTTTTTCCATGAATGCCCCCTTTTTTTTTTCTGTTCCAAGATCCAATTGCATTTAGCCCCCTCTTATTTTTAATAACTAATACAAAAAGACATCAGTGGTCATCTGTAGATGGTCTGAATGCTGGTGGTCCCTGCAAACAATGACATTTTGGCAGCCTTTAAAACATTCTGAAGCAAAGTAAGAGCCCAGTATAAATTTGATCTTAAAATAATTATGTTTTGCTAGAGTCGCGGTTCTCAGCCTTGACCGCACATTGGCGTCACCAAGACATTTTATAAAATACCAGTGCCTGGGACCTACCCCCCAAATTCTGGTTTATTTGGTCTGGCTGTGGCCTGAACATCAAGATCTTTCAAAGCTCCCTGACGGATTGCAATGAGTAGCCAAGTTTGAAAAGCCCTGTTCTAGAGGGACAGGGGAAAGTTGGAGGGACTTTCTTCTGCCTCCTCCCTAAGATCCAAGAAGAGAAGTTGAGTTCACTCAAACTTTGAGTATTTGGGGCCAGACATGACCAATTATGTCATGAGACACGCCGGGGACCTACGCAGTTACGAACTCTCTCCATTTCGGGGAGAGTCAGGAAACCTAATGTTTTGAGAACTAGCTCAGATTTAGTGTTTCCGTGAGCACATAAGCTATAACTGAAAATTTCACTTATCAATCATTGGCTGCCATCATTGAAGGAAAGTTACTAGTACATTTTATTTTTGAAATATTTCCATGGACTATTTGGTTTTAACACCCAAGTTTTGTTTTGTTTTGTTTTCAGAGCCCGTGGTTCTGGTTGCATAATTTAAATCAGTAGAGCCCTGTTTGTAGTTAATCTGATCTATTCTCCATCATCATTTTGTTTCCTCTGTTTGGGTTTCTTTTTTTTTTTTTTTAAAGATTTTATTTATTTATTTGACAGAGAGAGAGAGTGCACATGCACACGTGCAGAAGCAGGGGGAACAGCAGAGGGAGAGGGAGAAGCAGGCTCTCCGCCGAGCAGGGAGCCCGATGTGGGGCTCGATCCCAGGACCCCGGGATCATGACCTGAGCTGAAGGCAGACACTTAACGGACTGAGCCACCCAGGCGCCCCTGTTTCGGTTTCTTTTTAAAGGAAAATGCTTTATTGAGGTATAATTGTTGATACACAAAGAACCATGCATATCTCATGTGTGCAATTCTATGAGTTTGGACATATGCAAACACTCTTCATAGCCAGTTGTATAATTTTTTAGTTAAGTTTTTAACTGTCGACAGAGGATCCCATCATCCAAAGCTCTAAATAACTTTTATCCTAGGGGTGCCTGGCTGGCTCAGTAGGTAGAGCCTGTGACTCTTGATCTCAGGTTCGAGAATTCAAACCCCACGTTGGGTGTAGAGCCTACTTATAAAAGTAATAATAGGGGTGTCTGGGTGGCACAGTCAGTTAAGCATCCGACTCTTGGTTTTGGCTCAGGTTGTGATCCCAGAGTCCTGAGATCGAGCCCCTTGTCAGGCTCCGTGCTCAGGGTGGAATCTGCTTAAGAGTCTCTCTCCCTTTCCCTCTGCCCCTCCTCCCTGCACGCACGCGTGCGCGCTCTCTCTCAAATAAATAAATAAATCTTTAAAATAATAGTAATAATAAAAATTGGGGCACCT